TATTTTTGTAGTCTATCCAAGCCTCCCTTCCAGTATGGTCAAGGATTCCATACAATTACATGCCACTCCATCTGATGAGATGATCAACGCCTTTATAGTAACGCCCTTACAGAGATGCTATCTTGGTGGACAAAAGTGTGTCCTTTGTCTTTTGAACTATGTATTTCAACGCATTGGTCGTAGCGACTTAGCCAATCAAGTATACAGATTCGGATGAGCACGACCACCAACACCAAACTGATGCGAGTGTTCTGCATATAGCACTATTCATCGGAATGTAGTCATTTTTCAACCTTTGCAAGAAGCGTGAAAAACTGTGAAACTACGAATACCACAATATTAAAATATAAAAAACCTTCCACTGAGAATACGAAGCCATGCAATCAAGAGACAATTTTAGAAAACTTGAAAACACATCTATCACTACTCACTATCTGGTGGATAGTGCCATCCGGTCTTCGTATAAGCTACTGGGACTTCCATAAGTCGCACCGCACCATACTTGAATCTGACGGGGCTCATTTTCTGGTCATGTTTTGACCATTACTGCTCACAAGGCTTGCTTAATTTTGTATAGGATTCAATCTTTTTGTATATAATAATAATTTAGTAGTGTAGTTCATAGTATCATAATGTAATCAAATACAACTAATATTTAGTTTTTAGCAATGACAATTAGAGGTTTAATATGGTTCATGGTAATAACTACTAAGTTGTATAATTGACTTGACGACCATACACTGTCTTCAACAAAACGTCTACACCCTTGGACATCTAACTGCCACTTATTTTATTTCCGCAATTTATATTAGCCTTTCATTTTGAGCACAGACCCCTACTAAAACAAAATATGCTATTTAATATAATTACAAAACACTAACACGAGCAACTAATGCATTTGTCTTTGAAAGCTTCCTATCAACGACCCCCTCTCCCTCTAATGCCCCCCTCAAACAAGCTCCCTCTTTAAATATGCCCCTTTATATCTAATAAGCCTCCGTCTCAAATAAGTCAAATAAGCCCGCCTCTAAATACACCCCCTCTGTAACATGCCCTCCTCCCTAATCAGCCTCCTCTTAAATAAGCCTCCCCTCACTAATAAGATCCCCCTTTCTAATAGATTTATTGATTATCTAGCCTGCGTGGTATTTCTACGGGCAGCGAAAATTGGGGAGGCAAAGGAAATACCTTGATTATCTTGCTCAAATAAATTATTGCTAAACAATGTATGAGGCTTGAATCAAAATTATCATGTAATTTTGCCCCTCTCCAGTGCCTCAAAAAATAAGCGGGGCTTAGTAGAGATATTACCGTATCTAAAAACATGCATTCTCGCAGCTGAGTCGTACCCAGTCGTCAATGAGTACATACATAGATCAGTGGACTGAGGAGTATGATGCATGATGGGAACGACAAAGAAAATTTGAGCCTCGATCATTCCCATCATGCATCATCATTTACTTTACATTTTATGTACTGGGTACGAGTCAAAGGTCAATGAAAGCTTGTTGACGTTTCAGGCAATGAAACAGAGGGAATTTCCCTGTTTAATTTATGTTTTGGCGACAGAAGTATGCGCGTATGCTGTGATCACTTTCTCATTTCAATGTTTTTCGGCGGTACATACGCACTTGTCTTTTCACAAAAAACAATTTTAGGACGGAAAGAGATAAAGAATTTTAAAAATGAACCATAACAAAAGATGCATCAAATACATACATATATAAGATGCATTAATAAGGGCAATTTGCAAAAACTTTGAATATGATATGAAAATTATACCATACGCACAAAACAACTGCACTTAATTCACCCAAGCCATAATAACTATAAAGCTTGCAGCACACGAAAGCTATCTCCCGAGGAAATTTAGGACACATGCTGAACCTTGCATGAGCTGAAAATCAAACATGTTTGATTTTCAGCTCAAGGTTACATATGTCCAATACCTCAGTGAAATTCAAGCGCGCACGGCGAGCTAAGTGCTGAGCAAACGGGCACGAGTAACATTTTCCTCAGGAGATAGCTCTCGTGTGCTGCAGGCTTAAGATAGCTGCTCTTTAGTCTTTTAGATTATTACAGAGTCGTTAACTTTTGCCACTGTTATAATTGCATTTTAGTTTTTATTTCCTACGTTATTCATACCAGCATGTTGCCAGCTTTTAATAACGAAGTCAGTTGTAACCTTTGCAACCTCGAAATTCGCACAAACTAATCAAAATACAGCAGCAAATTAATAGCCCTGTATCAAATCCGTGGCTAAGGCAGCATTACGCTAACCTTTTATCAACACGGTTTCTCTTCTTGCAAAATTTATTTCAATTGCAATTTTCATTGACAGTTGCTCCTCAGATGCTTGTAGAACTTCGTAAACAACAAATTTGAAGAGCAGGAACTGCGCAACTTAATATATAGATATTGGCCATTGAAGATATTGGCTAGCAATTTAAGATCTCCCGCAAAGAAATGTTTATACACACGTAACCAATGAAACGTTTGCACATAACGTCACAGCCGCCATGTTGGTGTTCCAATTCAAAATAATTTTAATTATTATTCATTTAGTATGTATTCTCGTCCCTGGTTGGTCAGAAAGCACCGGATAATTCTCAATATTCGGTCAGCGTCCAATAATAGTTTTTTTGGATCGAACATGCAATCGAGTGTATCTAAAAGTCGAGGGTCGAGAGTCGAGAGTAAAGGTCGAGAGTCGAGAGTAAAAGTCGAGAGTCGAGAGTAAAAGTCGAGAGTCGAGAGTAAAAGTCGAGAGTCGAGAGTAAAAAGTCGAGAGTAAAAAAGTCGAGAGTCGAGAGTAAAAAAGTCGAGAGTCGAGAGTAAAAAGTCGAGAGTCGATCGAGAGTAAAAGTCGAGAGTCGATCGAGAGTAAAAAGTCGAGGGTCGGCAAATGTCATCAGAAACAACAAAGTCAAAATACTTTTAACACAATATATAACCGATCCGTAACAACGGCTGATTATAGCCGTACGGGCGAGGGGGGGGGAGGCAGCCCGCCCCCCAGTCAAAATAAATTAAGTCATGCAAATTATAACCTGAAGTTCAGGCCCTATCACAGAATAGGGCCTGACACAAAACCTATCTAAAGTGTGGGATTCCCGTCCACCTGGTGGACGGGAAATCTGATTGGTTGATCAGCATCATGAAGGATTTTGATTGGTTGCAAGTTCACATAAACAACAGTTTTAAAAATAGCTCGGTCAAGGCGAGAATTAATATAAAGGTCAAACGCACGTAACAAATTCCATTATCGATTTCTTCGAATTTCTTTTCTTTTATGCTTTATGGCAGAAGATAAATCAAACAAACAGTATTTTGAAAGGGCTTTATCAAAATCTTTGACGAATTTTGGACGACGCTGAAAAAAACCAGCCAAACTAGTCATGTATTCGAAAGCTTGTTGTTGACAGCCAAGATGTTCTGCCAACTGGCTTTGCCGGCAAAAGTCTTATTTTTAATATCAGGTCCTACCGGCGTTGTTTTCTGAGCTACATCGCCTTCTTCGTGGTACGATTGAGAATTTCATTGTTGCTGTTGTTAGCCCGTTAGTCGTTAGAGTACTGATCCGCGTCCAGCAAGTTGAGACCTTGAGAAAGCTTGGCAGTCAAGCCGTGCACAGAACTGACTAATTAAATCTTTGTTTGCTGTTCGCCTGTTCGGTTAAATAGAGAAACTGACTCTTAATTATATAAAAGTACCTTGAATTTTTAAGTTTAATTAAAAAGCAAAATGCTCTGCGGACATGTTCATGAGAATATAATTTTTTTGTGTAACGAAATCTACGACACTTGTCAATCATATTGCATGTGTGTCTAAAAATAACATGTGGGCGTCCCACGGTCTAGACAGGTTTTGTGTCAGGCCCTATTTCAAATTAGGGCCTGAACTTCAGGTTATGCAAATTATAAACGTATAAATTCGGGCAAAAATTGGGGGAAATAAATTTAACAAGACGCCTACTCAGGCATTCACTCCGCCTGCAGGCTTGCAAAGAAAATGGGGACAATGTAGGGTGCGACGGAAAAGTGAAGCCAAATATAAGCATTCAAAGACAAGTTGGTGTTCATAGCATTCAAAGATAAGTTGGCATTCATGGCATTCAAGGTTAAGTTGGCATTCATGGCATTCAAAGTTAACTTGGCATTCAAAGGAGCAATGGCATTTACACACTTCTTTGAATTTTCATAAGAAAGTGCCATAACCTATAAGAGACAGAAATAGGATATCAATTCTGACACACCAATTCTGTTTGGTGGGCCATTGTAATAATAGAGGCCCAAAAAGCATGTTTGAGTGGCTTGGTAGGTATTCTGCCCAGAGTCCTAGTAGGGTTGAATTAAATACATTAGGCCTGTTTCAAACGTCGCATTTGGCATGTGTCGAATTCAATTGCTTGAATTATATGCATGCAAAATTCGACGTCTGAAACGATTAAATGCGACGTTTTTAATTGCGGTCGACCTTAACTTTAAATTCGACCCGACCGGTCGCATAATGCGAGCTAAGTGCGAGCTAAATGCGACCTGTTTCAGACGTCGCATTTTGCATGTGTCGAATTCAATTCTGCTAGGGTCGGGCTCGCGGAAAAAGTCTGGAACGAGGTAAAAGAAGGACGGCATGTAGTGTTAATGGATCAAATTTCGCGTGTAGGACATAGAATGGTAATAATTCCATGTTTTTTTTGTGTGTTTGTGTGAAAAATAGTCAATAGCCTGATGTGAGTTTATATACAAGCGAAAATAATGTCGCGAACAAGAACATTTATACGGGACTACATATATAGTATTTTTTCGTGCTTTAAATAAGACGAGCCACGGCTTATTTCGCTGGTATATAGTCGTATACTGAATGGCCCTACTGACATCCCAGCGGGCAAAATGACGTTTATCCAACGTTGGAAATGACCTTCCAGACGTTGGATAGACGTTGAAAAAGGGTTGACTATGCAAATTGGATCGACGTTACTGTTTCGACGTTGAAACAACGTTGAAATTAGGTTGCCAATCTCGTCAACCATAATTCAACGTTGAATCCACGTTAAAATAACGTTGAGATTGGTTCACAAATCGATGTCGTACATTTAACCATGAATGAACGTTAATCATGGGCGTACGGGAAGGAAAAAATTAGGGGGGCGGAAAGAAAACTGCCCAACTTTTCGGAATTCTGCCCGACTAGTACCAAAAAATTTTTTTCGAAAAAATTATTTGGCGACCCCCCCTCCCCCGTCGCCAAAAAATTTTCGGTCAGCGTACCATTTTAGGGGTCAAAAAAATTTTCCGGACATACAATTTTTTCCGAACATAACACAAATTTTCGAAAAATCGCAAAATTTGCCAAAAAATTGACTTGATTTTAGACAAAATTGACAGAATTTGTCCAATTTTTTTTGTTGCAAACCAAAATTGCCCGACCGTTGATCGAATATTGCCCGACTGCCCAAAAAACTGGGGGGGCTACCGCCCCCCCCCCCGCCCGGTACGCCTATGACGTTAATTCAACGTCTGTTGGCTGCTGTTGAACCAATGTTTGTAAAACAACGTCAGAGCAACGTAGATATTAGGTTGTCGACGTCGCAACCTTTTTTCTGCCCGGTGGGATACTGTGTTTATTTTTGAGCGAAACTTTAAAAATAAATGTCAATCTATTAATTAAAACTATCAAAGGGGCGTGTCTACACTCTACAACACTTACAATTTCGAATTAAATGCATGCAAAATGCGACGTTTGAATCAAACGTCGAATTTCATTGAATTCGCTCGAATGAAATGCGAATTGTATTCGACACATGCAAAATTCGACGTTTGAACCAGACCTTACACAACACATAGTATCTATTAACACACAAGGGCAGTAGAAAGAGCAAAGGAAGCAAACCCAAGCTGGCTGTGAGTTCAAGAAGCTGACGTTTCTGTTATTTGTTAACATGACTATATATCATAGATTATATTCTTGTCTTGCAACCAATCCCTTGAGAATAAAAGAATGTGCGAATTTCAGTAAAAAATAATGAGATTCTTTGTTAAGCTTAATACTACCACATGGCTGCCGTTTCCGGTAGTTGCGTACTATTAAACCATAGTTAAACGTGTATAGTAAATTATAAACACGACAGCTTCAATATTACATTTCCTAAACTCTTCATAACATTGAAATATATTTAATAACCCGATAGCCTCAACACTACATAGCCTAAACTCTTCAGAACATTGTAGGGACCTTTCACACAAGAATATATTTTGCTAGTCAAGAATATAACATCGACATTTAATACGACATTATACAGTAGGAGTGAATATTTTTATTTATATTTATGACTTTAAAGAATTTCTTATTGCCAAAATGCAGCATGTACTACCAAAATTAGAATGTTTAGTATCCCTTACCTCAGTTGAGTCTGGAAGCTTTGTCTTGACATTCATCTTTTTAGTATTTTTCATCGTTTAGTATTTTTCATCGCACAAGACCGTTTCGCAGTTCGCAGTTTAGAAAAAATACTGTAAGCAGAGCTGTAAGCATGCGCATTGCGCTGCCAAATCGTATAACATTATCCACAAATGTCAATAGAAAGTATCTAAATATCATGGAATGTACACATTTATCAAGGAGCCTGTTTGTGACACTGACGACAACCGACAACAGACTCAGGCATTTTTAGACTCCGCACTGCGCATATGCGCAGGCGGAGTAAAAAGAAGACAGTACATGCAATATGGTATTTGAAAATACCAGAAATATGTAAAAGTAACGAGGAATTGACAAATAGGAAAATATTTTTGTCTACTTCCCAACGAAAATTTTGGAAATTTAGTTACACGGAAAATTTTATTCAGTGGGTAAAAGTCGATCGGGTAAATTTCTTCCCGCCCGTACGCCTATGACGGCTGAACTCATTTCATTTCCTGTGTATCGGAACATAAAGCAAACAATATTTGCGAAACATAATTTAGTATGCTCAAATTCTCGAAATTAAAGTAAACAAGAGGCATATACAATCAAAGGAATAATCCAGTATAATATAAAACAAAAACTTTCGCAAAAATTTAGCCACAACATTCAATAATAATAACTATTATCTAATAACTAGTTTTATCGCTTCCTTATATATTACTGTCCATCCTTCCCACTTTTGCATGCACCTCTTTCCGCGAAAAATTACTCATATGTGAAGCTACATATAAATACTAGGACTTTACAATCACGTGCGAGACATATTACCACCCGATAGAGTCACACATACGACAAAAGAATCCTATTTTTACTGGCTCGTATTTATGAATTCACAATTGTATGAATCGTTAGATTGTGATCGACGTGGATTTCTTAATACGCTCTCGTTTGATATAAACGTACGTTAATAAATGAATAAGTGACATTTTAGTTACAAGCCTGGAGATGGCTGTCAAAATTCAGCGAAGTTTATGTGCATGTCAGTTAGAATGAAATGACATGTGAAAACATTTAGCAAGATTGAGGCATCAAATGCGATATTATTATTTTCTTATCCAAACTTTTTTGTTTTTGTTATCACGTTATTATTATTGACAGTGGCGGAAATCTCCCCCCCCCCCCCCACCTTCCGGAAAATTGACGAATTTTCGGAAATTTTGATCTAAAAGAGGGCTAAAAACAGTCTTTTCGAGTGCAAATGGGGGGGGGGTACGTCGGAAATTTCAAAGTTTTGTCGGAAATTTAGGAGGCTTTGCCCCCCCCGGAAAAAGTGAATTTCCGCCACTAATTATTGACTGTTGTAGCAAATACTAGCAATGGAAAGTTTGTATTTCAGCCGTTGGTACTTGTTACGGAATGGCTATGTAAAGCTATATATATATATATAGATTGTGTTAAACGTGGTTAAAAAATAAAAATATTTTGACTTTGTTGTTTCTGATGACATTTGCCGACTCTCGACTTTTTACTCTCGATCGACTCTCGACTTTTTACTCTCGACTCTCGACTTTTTACTCTCGACTTTCACTCTCGACTCTCGACTTTTACTCTCGACTCTCGACTTTTACTCTCGACTCTCGACCTATACTCTCGACTCTCGACTTTTAGATACACTCCATGCAATCTTGCATCCAAAAAATTATTGGACGCTGTCGTGCCCAAGCCCCGGCGCGGCCAACAACTCAAACCCAAAAGCGCGCAAAAATAAAATAAATAAAATAAACAAAATGGCTCATAGTATACAAATAATGAATGTTTATGAGTGCAATGGTAAGAATATTTTCATGAGGTGAAAGATGGAATGTTCCATTCAACGAGGCGACAGCCGAGTTGAATGGAACATTCCATCTTTCACCGAATGAAAATATTCTTACCATTGCATGAAGAAACATTCATTATTTGTTTTATATAATACCAAAAGTCCAGAACAGACTAATAGATTCGTATGAGAAGCATTTTGAGGGATGCGATTTATCGAAAACACAAAGAGTGCAATTGAAGTGCAATTGTACTATACGTTTTATTCCATTGCACTCGCGGAGAGTGCAATGGAACGTGTTCCATTGCACTCTTGGGAAATGAATTTTCTATTCAATATCACGTGACCATAAACAGCCAATTAAACGATTAGAATTTAATAACGTATTATATAATAGATTTTGATTCTATGTCGTAACATCACAATGTTGTTTAATTAAAACCTTTTCGTGCGTGTACGTACATACGTGTACGTATGAAAAAGGCTTATTACTGTCGATGCAATAGAAGTGTTGATAAAATATTGCATCAATTCATTTCCTCAAGTTGATCAATTCATTTGATAGAAAATTGATCAACTTCCTGTTACTTTTAGATGAGCCAATTAGATTTCGTTTCAGAACCGAATGACCAATAGGAAAAGAACTTTGAATTCGTATGAATTGATCAACTTGAGAAAATAAATTCATGCAATATTTTATCAACACTTCCATTGCATCGACAGCAACTGGAAAGCAATATAATTGGTTGGTTGCTAGACTCCTCAGAGATCGGAATTGGCATGCGGAATGACGTCCGGAACGACATGGAACGGATGCAAATACGCATGCGCGCAATGGACATAATTCGGGGACGTCCGGAACGACATGGGAACGGATGGAAATACGCATTTACGCAATGGACATAATTCGGTAATTACGTTTCTCTTGGCTATATCCTTACAGCCCGTCGTTGAGCTAGCCGTGTCAAATATTTTGTGTAGAAAGATAACAAACTGTTACAAATATTGAGAGACCAAGTTTAAGTCATCTAACACAGACGACCAATATCTTCGTTGTGTTCACTCTACTCCGAGACCAGGAGCTACTGGGACACCAAGGCACAGAATAAAGATCAGTACCAGAAGGGCAACTCAGCGTTGCAACGTGTCACCATTTTTCTATGCAAAAATATGCAGTCGACTGGCCAGAAAGCGGGGCCTTCAGCCAATACAGCGCGTTTATTGGCCAGAAAATGTAATCGACTGGCTAGGAAGATGGCGGCCAGGGAAGTGGCCCTTCTGTGTGCCTTATTCTGTGACCAAGGGAAGACCACTCTGGACTCTTCCACACACAGTCGCTCAAAATTTGCTTCGAAAAAAGTAGGATAATGCCATGGATAATGCAGGCACAAATTTGCGGGCGCTTGCGGGTTGGAACAATAGCTGTATAGCACGCAAAGGCCCATGGGAACCCTTTATTTTGTTGATCTAACAGTGACATCTAAGAAGTTTACCTCACGAAAATTTGCCTCTGCTGTGATTTTTAAGTTAAATTGCTCTAACGTTTTGTGGAGTTCTTTTCTCGTTTTATCTGCCATGCAACCATAAAAATAAATTTATAGTATTAAAACAATGATAACAGTGGAAGGAATGCATGTATTGTTTGACGCCCACGTTTCGGACCGTAAACATTTGAGCAGCCCACTTTTCGAAATTTGTCAATCACCTGATGATTCCTCTTGGATGAAACAGACTGCTGTGGCAACCTTTTGAGATGATTATTTCTGCTCTATCTATATGATATCGAGCACTCTTTATAAAAAATTTGTGTTTTTAATTTAAATCACGGATCACACAAGAGGTTTTTGATAATACTTTTATT